GGCAGTGATGCGTATGGCAATGGTGATGGGCCTTGAGTCATTACCTGGAGCGGATGCAACAACTACTTGCGCTTCGTACGAAGCACCACGAGTTTCTGGCTCCGGAACCTTTTGGCTATGGGCTTTTCTCATTTGCATGTGCTTGCTTTTTGGAGTTTTTGCATGTGTGATGGTGAAAAAGGTGAACAAACTTGCAAAAGACTTGGAATACTGCTGGAACCAGGTAGCTGACGAAGACCATTTTGCAGGTCAACAAAGCCGCAGGATCGATACCCTTTTTGACCAGTGCAGAAGGCTTGAACATGTTCTGGACAACACCAAAGCGGAGTTGCAAGATGGAATCAATGAAGTTTCGAATGAGGCAAGCATGGTCCATGATTATGCAAGCGGCCTCCACTATTACATAGTTGAGAGTGGAGGATACCTTCGAAACGGTCTTGGTCTTAACAATGACCAGTGGATTCACTTGACAACGTTGGAAAGGGCAAACCTTGTAGCTTCAAGAACAATGGGAGCTGTTGAATACATGCGTTTGGTGAGACAGAGAGGCGCAGCAGTGGGACAAGCGGATCAAACAGATCCAATGGCAGAACATGAAACCTCAGAGAGTGAAATGGATGATGATATGGAAGTTGAGCCGGTTATCCCAACTACACCGGCTACACCGCAAAACTTGACTGGAATGGTAGAATTCTTGAAAGATGAGCAACTCAGGTGCGTACAAGATGGAGAATTGTGGGATTCCAATGCAATTCAGAATCTGGCACTGGAATGTTTGGAGAAAGTTCGCGATGGTGTGACAGGAGAAACCATTGGAATGTTTCGCAACAAGATTTCTACGCTTTTCAGAGATCTGAGGAAATCTGCTGAGGATCAAAACAGATGGCAGAGCGCGACCAGATATGACAGAATTTCACAGGACTACGCAGGATGAATTTCAAAGAAATCTCATGATGCTTTTTCTCTGGAAGATTTGTGAAAGGATTGACAAAAGCTTCAGTCCAAAACGCGAAGCAGAGACGCAAAAGTTTGAATGGAAAATTGAGTCAACATACTCAAATTCCCAAGGAGGAGTGGGAAGAATTGTTGACAGAGACTACAGCCATGGACATAGCACAAATCGAGATGAAGTGTAACAAGTTTCCATGGACTTTGGCATGTAAAACATACATGACCATTCAGGCCTATCTGGCTCAGAAAAGTGTGCGGCTGCTTTTTCGCAGTAACGAGTTTTCACATGTTTGCACATGGAGACTTGTGCATTATCCAGGCCCCTTCTGGCTGAAAGCAATCGTTGCCCGCTTCGCATTTGTGCCAACAGTATTTTCTTGTCGCGCCGACCGGTGCTCACCATACCAAGGAGGAGTGCGTAACATGGAATGCAACAGTCACACATATTCACTTAAGCCTTCACACATGGCTGTGAGGAGGAGTTTTCTGACTTTTGGCCATTAGTTGATAGAGTTTCACACCTGAGTCGATAGTCAATCCGACTAGCCACTTTGTCGGAAAAAATTGGCCTCGTGGCAACGCAGGTAAAATTTTTCTTGAGAAGACTACGTTTCTTTGGTTTGTTCTGGTTGAGTTGCACGAGACCTTTTGGAAACACAAATCCAGAAAACACAAACATTACGTTTGAAATTGAAACAGTTGCAGCATTGATAACTTTCAATTTCTGGTAATCGCTTTCCAAGATCTTTTGCACCGGTTTTTATGACAATGCGGATTGTGATTTTTTGCATGGTATTTCAAACCACGTGGTTGTTGATGCGTTAACCGTTATCAGAATGTTTGGCCAAATTTGAAACTGGAGTGCCTGCGTATGTTGATTACCGCATTTGCCTTCCGAATATGTGTTGCAGATCTAAGATGAGCCGCCAATCACAACCATTTTGAAATGTAAACAATGTGTCTTTGAATATCATGCTGACCATGAAAAAAAATTGTCACATGTCAAAGCAAATCAAAAAGGCAATTGCAATACATGTGACTTGTAATTGTCTAGTGGAGCATGGGCAGGTTTACATTCGCGCCTATAGATTCGATGACCCACCGCCCACCCCTTCACCACCAAGTTCCACTTCACAAACACAATTGACCTAGCCCCTGCAGCCCAACGGATGTGCACCAATCCAGTTTGGAGAAAACCTGCTTGGTTCGAGTGTTTTTTTTTTATCCCCGAGTGTTTGCATCAGGTTTTTTGCACTTTTCGTTGTTCACGCGATGAGAACAACGTATCATATCCTTCGCCCAAAAAATGTGAAACACAGATACGTGCCAACATCACCAAACGGGCCAAAACATTTCTCTGCAAAGGGGGGAAAAAACCACTTCAAAAATCACGATGGAAACATACGAAACATGAATTCCGTTTTTCGTTTTTTCTGTACAACACACCAGCACCAACTGTTGCAAACGGCATCCGTTTTTTCTCCGAATGCGCAGCGAGGGTTCCCGTTTCATTCGGGGGGTTGGGGATTGAGGGTGTGTTCGCTAGACGCCGCGCAACCATTTGCAACCCTCCGCAACCGTTCGCAACCGTTCGCAACCGTTCGCGTGAGGGCCCTATGGCCGTGCCTATGGGGACTGCTGCAAAAAACGCTTATACTTTTCGAGGTTTCAAACGTCGCGTAACCTCGCTTCGTGTGGCAGGCGTCGTTGTCAGGGTTGAGTCAAGTGGTGGCAGAATGCAAATTCCATGGCAAGGGTGGTATTTTTTGAGATATGTTGAAAACTGACGACAGCCTCGCATGAAACATCGGTTTTGAGGTAGCAAATTTTGAAGTTCATGAAAGAACTCGTGGGAAAACGTTGATTTTGTAGCTACAGTGTGAAAACTGGAGAAAAACTTGTACGAAAAATTCAATTTGAGCTTCCAACTTGTATCGTCTTGATTCTCTGGTACTCTTGTGGTGTCGCCGTGCCTATGGGGAAAGCTGCGAATCCTTTCATTTTGAAAGGTTTCCGAAGAGGTGTTCATGCCATTTTGCGCGGCAGGCGTGGGATGTCGTGACATTCCGACGTGTTTCAAAACGTGTCAAAAAACGCTCTGTATGACGGGCGCAATACTTTTGCATCGTTTTCAGAAGATGAATTGGATTTTTCGTGGCAGGCACAGCACTTTAGACGTGCGGTGTTGTGTGTATTTTGTGAATCGCTTTGTCAGGGCTGTGTCAAGTGGTGACAGCGTGCAAATTGCAAGGCAAGTGTGGGATATCATGAGAGTGTCCTCTTGCGCCGCAGGCGCAACATTTGGTGCAGTCCGTCCTGTGTGGAATGTAATTTTGCGTGGCATGCGCAGTATTTGGGACGCTCTACACTCTACACTTTGCACTCCACACTGTATACTTTACACTCCACGCTCTCCGTACACTTTCCAATTTACACCCACATGTACACTCCACACTTGACACTCCACACTTTGCACTTGACACTCGGCACTCCACACTCTACACTTCACACTGTAAGCTTGACACCCCACACTCTACACTCTACACTTGAGACGTCACACTGTACACTCTACACTGTACACTTTACACGTCACACTTTACACTTGACACTCCACACTCTACACTCTACCCTTCAGACGTCACACTTCCCATTCCACACTCTACACACTACACTTTACACGTCACACTCGGCACTCCACACTCTACACTTTACACTTTACACTCGACACTCCACACTCAACATTCTACACTGTACACTTCGCACTGTACACTTCACACTCCACACCCTACACTATACACTTTACACTCCACACTTTACGCTCCACACTCTCACTCCACACTCTACACATTACACTTTATGGTCACTCTACATTTTGCACTCCACATTCCACATTTTACAGTTTACACTCCGAACTCTACACTCCACACTCTACACTTTACACTTTACACTCCACACTCTACGCTTTACAGTCCACGCTCCACACTTTACAATTTACACACTCTGCACTTTTCACTTTACACTGCACTCTCTGCAAAGCATGAAACATCGTTTTTGAGGTCGCAAACTGTGGGATGCATGAGAAAATTGCGAATTTCAGGAGAAAAGTCTGTGAGGTTTTCCTCACTATGCGTTTCGACGTCTGTGCCATTAACATACGTGTGAACATTCGGGTTCGTGGGCTGCATCTTGTTTTTTTTCAGTAGTGAAACGCAAGTGCCATGTGCAAATGCAATTTCCGTTGTTTTCAAATTGGTGCGTTGGGTTCAATTTTTTGATCAAACAGTTTTTGCTCTGAAAAGGTGGTTGGTTCCCGAAAGAGGTCTGATCCATGGCAGTGTGCTTTGTGATTCGACCACAACAGTTGGTGAACACGAAAACCGGATTTTGTCACAGTGGGTGAATTTATGCGAATTTTTCTGTCATTATTTGGAATCACCACACAAACAAATTCGTATTTTGACGTTTGTTTGGTCTTGGAGTTGTTAATCAGACTTTGCAGACATTGAAGGGTTCACGTGCACTGGTTTTCATGTACAACGTACAACCACGCACTTGCGATCTGAACCGGGCGCCAGTGTTGGCTCAGTGTATAGTGTGGAGCCTCCCACCGGGGAGAATAAAGTCTACGGAAATTTACAACTACAATTATTTCGGAGACACAAGTACAAACTGTGAACGTTGGTTGGTAATTTTTATTCACATTTTGATATCATGGAAAGATGGGTTGACATTGCAAGGTGTTGAAAACACAGTTGTGCGGATTTGCACAATTTGATTTTCAATGCAAATTGACCAAACCAGGCAATTTACTGTGGTTAAAAGAGTACGAGCGGTGGCAGTTGGATGCTGATGCGACAATAGGCTGGGCTGTGGCAGTTTGTCAATGAAAGCAAGGGGTTGTTGGAATCCATGCAGACAGATTCAATTTAGTTGGATGATTGTCATTGCCAAGGGTATTGGGGTTTGTTTGGGCGGTTTATTAAACAAATATTTTCCATTTGGGCCATACAATGCATGGGTCCAGAAAAAGTACTTCCAGGATTTGTGTCATGGCCACATCCGGAATGTCGCAGGTCGCAGCTCCTCCACCAATGTCAGGGTACGCCGAGCCTGAGGGAAAAGCGTTGGAAACATTTGACGTCAAAATTGGTTGCTAACCTGATGAATTTAATTGATGATTTCGGGAAAGGGTGGAACTTAGCAGAGCATTGGTGGCTAATGTTGGGAACCCTAACCCAACAATAAACAATCCCCAATATTGCCATAAATGGTGAAAAACCATTCCCAAACGGTAGGTTTATCATTGGGTTTACCACATTGTGTTAGAAAAACAACATATTGTTGTGCATCTTTGCACGGGACCCGCATTTTGAAAGTAAATTTGTTTGCGAACATGTTCGGACTGTTTGGATCGAAATTAGCGGTTGAAACAAAATTACTGGGCCACCTTGCTTATAAACTGCTTTATTCTCACCCATGCTATATCCACCATAGTGCTAGAACCTGATAAAACCTGTAAATCAATTCTGATGGTTAAGAAAATGAACTTCCAGCAAATGGGAAGATCCATGATGATTTTATTTGATGGAGGCTGATTCCAACGGACCTATCTCTTGGGTTCCCAGGTACGGAGAGTCCAAGCGACGACGACCCTCCAATAGCCGAGGCCGATCATGGCATACGGCATATAGTACTTTTTGGTTTTTACACACTAAAGTCAGGAAAGCGCCCGTTTTTTCGGGTTTGGTAGATTTTGCATTTTGAGACTGCGGCTTGGGGGAGTTCGATCAAACTGAACGGCTCAATACCAAAAAGAATGACAAGTCTCACAGGGTCATTGGTTTTCTCAATGACTTATGCAATCCATCGTCAAAATCATGGGTGTAAGTATACACCTACGTTTTTTTTTTTACACACATATATATATTATTAAAAAATATATCATTCTCTTTGATGGTGATTTTTCAGATGATTTATTTGCCTTTCGATGGTGATTTAGCCAACAGGTCCTGTGGACCCTGTGTCAGCATCCTTGATCTCCGGGTCCTCTGTCTCTCCCAGCAAATTCTACTGTCCAGATTTTGTAGCAGTAGAGTTCTTCTTCTTGCACGCATCTATTTTTCCAGTCAAGGTACCCTATGTAGGCCACAAAGCAACCCTAAATAAAGGTTGACCCTTGACACTAAACATGAACATTAAAACCCACCTAAACTACACCTGGGGCTTCTCACCCAAAATGGGTTGTGTTGGCATTGAAAAAGGTCTGCCACTGATGCGCTGTTGGCACGTTGGCTTGGACGGTGTACACCCCATGGCATGCCTCGCAGCCGTGTTGCCAAAGCAGCACATCAGGGTGTCCTTTCCCCATGGTTAGACCTGAACAAACCCTAAACCAACAATGAATAAAACATAAAACAACACCATGAAGGCACCAAACCAGCACCAACTCAGCACTAACACAGCCCCAAACAAGCCATAAAATTATCACTCAACCCCAAATCAACACTGTAACACAAGCCTAAAGGAACACTAAACTCAAACCAGCAAAAATAATCCTTAGTAAACCCTGAAGCAACTTTATATAAACATGCCCTAAAACTACACCAAACAAGTACCAAACCAAAACCACATCAACACTAAAACATCTTTCATTCAAGACCAAATCAACACCAAACCGACCTTAAGTCAACGCTATGTATTAGAAGCCTAAATAAACACAAAAAAAGACCTCAAATAAACACAACAATCAACCCCATAGAAACCCTAAAACACCACCAAATAAACCATACAAAGACACACAATACAACATAAACCAACCTGAAACGGATCTGATAATCAGCTGAAAAAGTATGGCTAATACAGTGCAAATGAGAGATTTCAAAGATTTCAGTAGCAAACATGCAAAGAATCCCTTGTTTCTAGCCATATTTAAACAAGAAATTCAAGGTCATTGATCAACATGATGTAGATACCATTGATACCATGCACATGTCATATTTTCCAACTCCAAAATGCATCCTGAAGGAAGATCCGCCGGGCGAGATGAAAAGCGCCATAAAGGTGGCGAACGGCTCGAACGGCTCGTGGATTTGACCAGCAAAAATATGAATTGAAGAGGGGAACATGGTGATATCATAGGGATTTTATCGGGATACATCATATACAGTAATTATATATATATATAATATATATATAATATATTATAATATATATATATAATATAATATAATATAATATAATAATATATAATATAATATAATATAATATATGTATATAATGAAAGTAAGGAAGTAACATGTCGTTGCTGGGGCTCAAGCCTCATGCCCCCTCCTGCGTTTCTGGCTTTGCTTGTGGAAGGGTTTGCTAGCAATTTTTGGGGATTAGGCTGCCCTATTTATTGCACCCAACCTGCTCTTGGGCTTTTGGGGTTCACCTTCCTTACCGGTTGGATTTTGGGCTTCTTGTGCTTTGGACTTGGCTTGTGGTGGCTGTCTGGCCTTGGTCTGGTGCCTTTTGGACTTCACCCACCTTGTCCACCTGTCTCTCGGCCTGGTCCTACTGCTTCGCGTGCCCGTGTTCTGTCTGCCTACTTGCATGAGCCGGGGGGCTTCCAGCGAGCCAGGGACCGTTGAGTTGAACCTGACACTGCCTGGTGGGGTCCGTGTTGCAATCTTTGCACCGTCTTCCTCTGCCTCTTTGGCCACTCAGGTCTTCAACCACGTCGCTGCTTTCCAACCCGAGGGACCTGAACCTTCTGAGTTTGAGCTCATCTCTGCTGGGCCTTCTTCTCCTGTTGGTTTGGCTTCCCGCTTGCGTGCCCCTGAAACTCGAGACCAGATCCGTCGTTCCTTTGCCTCCTGCCCTTCTCGTCTCCTTGGACTTGGAGCAAGGCTCTGCGGTTCTTCCCTGTCTGGTCGTGCCCGAGTTGAGCGTGCCTGGTTGTGTGGCCAGTGGGCAGCTGCTGTCAAAGCCCAGCGAATCCATAGTCCTGACCGGACTCCTGCCATCGACCTCAAGAGTCGCTTCTACGCGGTGTTGGGGGCCCCTGGACTTTCTCAGCCCACCATCTTCCGCTCCTCTCGGGGTTACTGGGACTGCATCGGCCATCTTGAAGATTCGCCGTCCATCTCTCAGGCCTTCCCCAGTGAGGCTGAAGCGAAGATCTACTTGGAATCGGCAGGCGCCATCGAGTTTGATTTTGCCCCCTGAGCTGAATCATGGAAGCCCCTGTTGGACTTGGACTTTTGGACTTGGTGACCCTGGAGCAAGATGTGGAGCCATACATCATGGACTGGCCAGTCTTGGCCACAGAAGAGGATGGCGAGCCGGAAGTAGCAGCACTTGTGGTCGCAAAAAGAGATGGTGGTTTTCTAGCAGCTGTTCCAGTCGGCTTCATACCCGATGAGGTTTTGGCAGCCGGCAATGCAGAAAGCCCCATTGGACTTGTGGGCCCATCGACAGTGCTTCAGATCCCCGGGGTGATCATCGAAGATGGGCGTTTGGCCCCAACTGGAACCCTCCTGACGGTCGTTGTAGTCGATCTGGGAGAGGACGCAGTTGCTGAGATGAGGCGGCCAGAAGCCTTGGAAGTTTATCCCTACAGCTTCGATGCCGATCAGCCTTTTGCAATCCCCTCCCCTCAAGAACTATTAGCTGCTGCTCGGGCGTGGGTAGCGGCAGATGCAGAGAGTTCAGTGCAGCTCTACTTCTCAGCCGAGGGCGAGGCGGAGGATCTTGCCGATGGAACCCCAGAAGGAGATCAAGATGGACGGCCGTCAACACCCCGCCCGAAAAGAGGGGCGCGTCCTCCGCCTGGGCGAGAGAAGCCTTCCGGAGGAGGAAAGCGGCACACTGTGGCCTCTCTTGCCGCTTCAGTGGAGGAGCTCCTCAAGATGAATGCCGGCTTGGCTCAGACAGTGCAGACCATTGCAGGGCGTCAGCAAGAATTAGAGAGGAGGTCAGTTCAGCAGTTGCCTCAGAACCAGACCCCTCACACCGTCGCCAGCCTTTATCAACTTCAGCTGCAGTGCCACATGCCCCCCTGGGTGCCCTGATGAAACAGCTTGGGACTCCACCTCGAACTCAAGCACCTACAGCCTCGGGACTGTTGTCATCTCCGCAGTTTCAACCAGCAGACCTTCTCGAGCTCGAGGACGAGAAGAAGCCCAAAGACCAAGGTACCTCCTCCGACCCTTTGGCCCAGGCGGTACTTGCCCAGTCTCAGGCGCTGACGGCACTTGTGAGCCAGATAGCCCAGCAAGGAGGAGATCCAATGTTGGAGCTGAACAGTGTTGGAGCAACAGCAGGAACACGTGGAGCTCAAGGCCGCGCCCGACTTCAGCAGGAGCTGGCTGCGCAGAAAGGCTCCTTCTTCCAGTCGGTCTTGGCGTCGATGGCTCGGCGTATGCAGCCGACAGCTTCGGCCGAGGGCTCACCTCAGGAGCTTCTAGACCGTGGAGTGTGTGGCACCAGGTATTTAGAACGCTTTGGAGGCTTTGCCAAGGTCAGGGAATTGGGATGCCTGCAACAACAAGTGATGTCCATTATGGATTGCCTCCAGGCCTCGAACCTGCAAGCGGCCCGGGACCAGACGGCTTTGTTGGCGGTCACACTGGATCAGGCGGCTTTGGATCAGGGCCGTTTCGAGCTGGCAAACCTATTGTGCTTGCAGGAGGAGCCTCCGTCGACGATCTTCACGAGCCGTCAGACAAACGTGCTGAATCGTCCACGGGCCTTCTCGCCTTTAGCGGATCAACGATGGGTGACAGTGGCTCTGGCGTATATAAAAGAATTGGACGTGATCACTTCGAAGAGGCTGGAACTTACAAACCAATCTCGGCCAGGGACATTCTCAGCGGCCTCCACTGGAAGCGACAGCACCCCAGCACCGAGTGCCAAAGCAAAGCAGCAGCCAAAGAAGAAGGGAAAGGGAGGCGGGCGCGGAAGCAACAACTCCGCTTCCGCCGAGGCCGAAGAAACATGAGTGAGGGTGGGCTGGAGTCAAACCCCCTCACTGCAAATATAAACCTGTGTCAGTGGGCCATTTGCATGCCTCGCTGGATTTTGAGGTCACGCACAAAGCTTGCCTTCTGCCTCGCCCGTTCCTTTGCTGCCAAGTGTCGTTCTCCTCTGACGACTTCCACAGTCTTCCCTCTGCCCCTTCCGTCCTTGGACTGTTTTGGTGGTAGTGGCCCAAATCTCTCCAAACGTCGCTTGTGGTCCCTTGCCAAAACTCGTTTGCTCAACGTCTGGGTTCTGGTTTTGGACTTTCTTTACCTTGGCCGTTGGCCCACCTTGGAAGAGATGCGGAGGCCCCCCTCTGCCGTGCAGCTTGATGTCTTTGCTCGGCTTCGGACTATGTTGACTGTGTGTGGTGATGCCCAGGACAGCTTCCCTCTGTGCCCCGGCAGAACCGGCCCTGAGCTTGGTGCTCAACTGTTTCAGCTTGAAGCTTTTTGCGATCGTTGCCCTGACCTGCATGATGGTTATCTTGCCTGTGACAGCCAGAAACTTCATCTTGACAGGTCTCTTGTTCCCGTTTCAGAGCATCCTGAACTGTTGCCGTATCGTTCCTTGGACTCCTCCCGAATCAAGCTGACAGGTGAAGGAAGATGGCCCATGGCTGATTACCTGGATGGTTGTTTGTGGTTGCCTTTCCAAGAGCCCTCCTTTCTCATGCATGGCCTGCCAATTTCCCATGAAGCTGTTCCCAACTTTCGTGCGGAAAAGCCGGATGAGTGCCTTAAGCTTGCCTTGCTGTGGGATGCACGTGGTTTGCTTTTTCTGTCTGAGGCTCCGGTTCAGCCAGGGTACTTTTCAAGGGTTTTCAATGCCTACAAGAATCCTGAAAAAGACCGCCAGATTGGGGACAGGCGCTTGCCAAATGCCTCTGAGTATCATGTGGATGGCCCTTCCAAGTTCTTGCCTCAAGGCCAGCAGCTGACGCTGTTGAAGTTGCCGAGGTTTACCCACTGCCTGCGTGGTTCTGTCACAGACCGGCGTGACTTTTACCACCAAAGTGCTGTGACCAGAGAGCGTGCTCGCACCAACATGCTGCCTTTTAGCTATGTTGCTGAAGCCTTCCATGACACAGCAGCCTGGGAGAGTTTCATGTCTGGTTTGCCTGTTGGACCTCGACGACGTGAGCTTGTAGGCGACAACCTGAAAGGAAAGCCTGTCCCGAAGACCTGTCTTGTGCCTGAGCGTCTCTTTCCCTGCTTCAAGTCCTTGTTTCAAGGTGACCACTTGGGCGTTGAGTTTGCACTTAGGAGCCATGAAGTCCTTCTTCAACAACATGGACTTTTGGATCATCACACCAGGGTTGAGGGCCATAGGAATTTTCCTGCAGGTAGCCGATGGGATGCTTTGGTCATTGATGACTATTTTTGCCTTGGCTCAGAGCGCCTGAATGCACCCGCCAGTAGCAGTTTTGCATCCGAGAGCCTCCAGCGTGCCCACCAAGCTTACGAGTCCGACCAACCCCTGGGTTCCCCTGAGAAAGACATTTGGTCCGAAACTTGCCTAAAAGCCGCTGGTGCTGAGATCAGGTCAAATCAGAAGAATGTGCGCCTTGGATTCGTGCCTGTCTCATCCCCCCTGGCAAAGCGCTTGGCTCTGTCTGTCCTGTCAATACGTGCAGCTGCTCTACCTGGACTTTCTTCCGGTGTGTGTGCACGTCTGGCAGGAAACTGGGTTTTGGTCCTGCAGTTTCGGAAGTGTTGGTCCTCTGTGATTGACGGTCTCTTTCAGCTTGCGTCCAGGTGCCTCAGTGACCCTCAGCAGATGTTCTGTCTTTCCAGGTCAGTTGCTCAAGAACTTATCATGCTTGCCGCCGTTGCCCCCCTGATCACCAGCAACATAGCCGTTGATTACCTTGGATCAATCTTTGCGACTGATGCCTCCAATCGGAAGGGTGCAATTGTGCGAGCTGAAATCCCGCAGGATACCCAAGAGGCGCTGTGGTTGGACGCTGACCGAAAAGGATGCTATACACAGCTTGATCACCCTTTCCGAGCCCTGCTGCGTCAGATCGGTGAGTTCGACGCAGATGAAAGCCTCACTTCTGATGTCTATCATGAGGGCCCCGTGAAGTCTCCTTTGCTGTACTTTGACTTTGTGGAGATTTGCGGAGGAGCTGGAAAGGTTGCGGCTGCCTTGGCTGATATGGGTTTTGTCTGTGCCCCCAATCTTGACCTTTCAGAATCATGTCATTACGATTTGACTTCGTTGCGGTTTCTGGAATGGATCATCTACATGATTGAGGAGAACAGGTTTAAGGCATTCCTCATTGAACCACCTTGCACCAGCTTCAGCCCTGCTGCTCACCCTGCCGTCAGGTCCTACCGTGAGCCTCTTGGATTTGATCGGCTCAACCCAAAGACTTTGCATGGGAATGTCTTGGCTTTCCGGTCGTTGGTTCTCTTGCGTGTTGGTCGTCGGCACCGTCGCCCTTGTGGACTTGAACAGAGCCGATTGAGCAAGATGGCCTGGCTTAGCACTTGGATCAGCCTTCGCAGTCAAGGGTTCAGTGAAGCTGTGATTGCATCTTGCCGGTTTCAGTCGATACATCGGAAGGAGTTCAGGTTCCTGTGCTACTTGCTGGACACGGAGTTCCTTGACTGCAGATGCTTGGGAGGTCACTCGCATGTCAAGGTTGAAGGAGCATACACAAAACCTTCAGCCGTTTACACTGATGCATTGGCCTTGCATATAGCCTCCGCCTTCCGACAAGCCCTGCGCCGCTTGACCGCAGAAGACCTTCTCATGCCAGATGTCAGCGGCCATGAAACAGTTCTTTCGAATGACCTGATGCTGTCGTCCAAGTGGGAAGTCGTCCGGGCCTGGTTTTGGAAACGTCAGGGGCACATCAATGTCTTGGAATTGTCCTCATCCGTCTCCAATCTTGTCTCTGTTAGTGAGTCCCAGTCGTCCGTGCGGTTTTGCAGCCTTGTGGACTCAGCTGTTTGCAAAGGTGCCCTCAGCAAAGGAAGGTCCTCCTCTAGGGCTCTTCAACCTCTGTTGAAGCGCTCCTGTGCTGTCTGTGTTGCCCGTGACCTTTACCCGGGTTGGATCTACACTCCCACTCGCCTCAACTGCGCTGATGACCCAACCCGTGACCAGATCCTCAGGTCTCCTCTTGGTCATTCTTTGTCAAGATCTGGAGTTCCCCTTGGCTTTCTGCGCCTTCTCAACCTGTCCGGTTTTCGCCGCTTTGCTTCAAATTGGGTTCGACTTGTCCTGTTCTTGATTTTCTCGCCTGTCGGAGATGCTGATCTCATCCGTGATCAACCCTGTGTGCTGGATTCTGCTTGGACTTACCGTACGACTGATCCCTGCGTGCCTGTCTCCTCTGTCTCTTCTGGCCCGTGGATTTCTTGGCACAGCACTCTCTGGACTTTCCCGAGTGCCTCTTTGTCCGTTTGGTGGGTTCTCCTGGCGGTCTGCCTGACCCTGGTCTTCTGTGTTGTTTGCGGGCCTGGGTGGGTTGGGTGCAATAGGGATCCCCCAAATAAGGTAGGAGCTAGCAAGATCCCCCACAGGTTTTTGATGCGGTGCCTCCTTGCCATGGCCTTGTGCTGGTCTCCGGGATTCTGCATGCCGTTGGCCCCGACATCAGCAGCTGACAAGGCACGAGCGGTGACCCGCGCTGGTAACCATTTGGTCTGCACGAGGGCCGTGCGACAACAGACGATTGAGAAGCGCAAGGTTTATCTGGACGGTTTTCGATCTTGGCTGATCAGGGAGAAAGGGGTTTCGTTCAAGCAGCTGATTGAGTTGAAGCCGCCCGACCCCGAGCGCATCACTGATTTGCTCATCGACTACGGCCGTGAGCTCTATGCAGCAGGTCGTGCGTACGGAATCTTCGCGGAGACGATCAACGCTGTAGCTGTCGAGCGGCCACTGATCCGCAGGCAACTTACAGCGGCTTGGGACCTTGCCTTCGTGTGGTTGTCGGACGAGCCCCACCAGCATCATCCGGCGATGCCCATCAGTGTCATGCTGGCCATGGTATCTGTCGCACTATGCTGGGGTTGGGCACACGAAGCTGCGGTGATTTTGCTGGGCTGGGCCGGCATACTCCGAATCGGCGAAGTTTTGGCTGCAACAAGGCAGGAGCTAATCCTGCCTCAGGATGCCGCACCTGGCACCACCTTCATTTTACTGATCATCAGACAACCGAAGACACGGGGCAGAGCGGCCCGGCATCAAGCAGCTAGGATTGATCAGACAGATGTCATTTCATTTCTGACTGCGCTGTATGGATGCAGCGAGCCTTCATCACGACTCTGGCCTTTTTCGGCCGCTACACTGAGGAAGCGATTTGGCTTGCTGCTCGGAGCTCTCAACCTCCCCACCAAGAAGCTCCCCGGGACAGTTCCATATGACCTTGGAAGTTTACGACCAGGTGGAGCAACTTGGATGCTGCACAGGCTTGAGAACCCGGACATCCTGCGCAGGAGAGGACGATGGGCTTCATGGCGCACAATGGATATCTATGTTCAAGAAGTACAGGTTGCGACCTATGCTGAGAAACTGGAGCCAAAAACGCGGGACTTAATTCAACTTTATGCAGGTGGCTATGAAATCCTGATCGAGCGCTGTACGGCTTTTCTCAACACAGGAATTCCAGCCACAGTTTGGTTTTTCCTTTTGAAAGCTGCAGGTGATCTTGAGCAGAACGCCGAAAGGAATGGGGATGACGGTGTTTTCTCTGCTTCAGCCAACAATTACCGTGCTGAAGCATGATGCAACCTCCAAACCTGGCAGCAAAACAGAGTGGCAGCTTCCTTGAAAGTAAGGAAGTAACATGTCGTTGCTGGGGCTCAAGCCCCCACCCCCCCAGCCCTGCTGCAGCTTTCTCCTAAGGTGTTTTCTCTGCTTCAGCCAACAATTACCGTGCTGAAGCATGATGCAACCTCCAAACCTGGCAGCAAAACAGAGTGGCAGCTTCCTTATATAATATAATATAAGACTAACAAGATCCATGTGGATGTGTCTGTCTGAAAATGGGGTACCCCGCACCACAGGGCAATTTGAATAGGGAAAATTATGATTTAGCGGTGATTTTGTTGGCACCCAACGTTAAGACAAACCCATATGTGCTGAGTGTCAAAAGTTGGGTTATATACGCATGGGAGATTGTTACGAATCCATTGATAGGGGGTTTGTAAACCCATTACAGTACCGTACAACGATTCCCAATATGGGATAGATGACCATAAACCACATATATATATATATATAAACCATGTTTTGACTCTAGCACATATGAAGCAAGTCTGCGTTAGATCAGCCGATTGGTCCTAAGACTTGGGATTTCCTGCTGATGGTTTCCCAGTATATGGACCATTCATTGGATGAATGCCACCGGAAGAACCGCATCCCAGCAGATTTTGGTTTGGTTTTTGCGTTCGATTGGATTGATGTGAACGATGCAATGATCAATGTGATTGTGGTGAGAGTGTATACATATATGTAAATATATATATATATATATACACATTGCAATGATATACTTAGATGACAATCCATATATTCATATTGCGATGATATACTTAGATGATAGTCCCACTTGAAAAGTGTTTACTAAACCTGGGTCGGAAGTCCCGTTGCTGGCATTAGGCATTAGTTTCATTTACGATTGGGTAACAACCACGATTGCTAACAGTCACTAGATGATATGAACATCCAAAGTAGGTTCTCTGCCTTATTCCCCAATGTTGGGCATTTCAGAACGGTTCATGAGGTGTGTAGACTTACACTCTAATTGTGTCCAACGAATGTCTAGTGTGGACCCCCGTTTACTCCGTTTACTGTATCATCACTTTAGACTCAGCGTATGCGGAGCCGCTTCAGGCAAGAAAGACAAGAAGGAGAAGAAAGCTCGGGACGGAGACAGAGATGATCGGCCCGGAACGCATAGAGAACGCTGACCGAGAACGCATAGAGAGGGTTGGCTGATGTTGGATCCCGGAGAAGTATGGAGAAGTGGGATGCCATTGTTGAAATCGACCCAATTGTGAAGTATGCCTATACCATTGATTGCAGTCACTGAAGGGTTCACTGCGAAGCCAGTTGCGTAAAAACATGATGGTTATATTGGTTATAGTTTCTGAAAAAAATACACCTGGCTGATGGGGGTTTAGAGGCCATACAAAAGCCTATTTCTTCTACAAAGCTTGAGCCAGGGGCACCAGCTTTTGGGGTTGTCGAAAGATTGGGACTAAATCCGCCGCTTCACCATCATTTCCGCATTATATTGATATAACATGGCCATTTCACGCTATGCCGCGTTTTCAGACGCTCCCATTTGGTTTGCTTTTGCGTGTTTCGTTGTACTTGAAACGCTGCAAACCCAAATCTAGGTAAACCTTGGTTGGGACGGTCGGTATTTTCTCTAACTGCATGGGAAGATCTTGCTGGATTTTGAAAGGAGAAGCCTCCACCCATTTGGTGAAGCTTTTGGCGTCCACAATTTGACCCGAACATTCCGAGAGGAACTACCTGCTGTATATTTTGAGTGAAAATCAGTGGTTACGAGGGCCTTAAAATTAAATAGCCAAATCTTGTACTGTAACTTCTTCACATTCCAATGAAGCAATATTGGACGATATCTTACATCCCAATAATTTTGTGCTGTTGCTGGTGGGTAGAGCACCGAGCAAAGATATCTCCTCAAGTGGCAATGGGTGAAGAATTCGAGACCGAAAGCTCGAGAAATTTCGGTGACTTGAAATATCAAACAGCACCTTTTTGTTGGGGTGAAATCTAGAATTAGTCATGGGCCAATTTCTTTGGGGTTTTGGTCCGTGTTTTGCGGTTTTGTCCTCACAAAAATTGGTAGTGGTGTCCCGCAAGATCTTTCAGGTCACGCAAGCAGTCGAAGCGCTCTCGTAGCCGGGACTTGGAGGATGGGTCAAACCTGGCGCCTGGGATTTCGGGATTTTGGATGATTTTTGTGAGTCGAAAAAAAAATTCAGACCCCCAGAATCCATAAACATTCATCATAGCTGGACGACATTTTGTTCATTTCCGAATTTACATTATTATCATTATCATTAGCATTATCATTATCATTAGCATTATCATTATCATTATTGTTATCATTATCATCATTATTATCATGATCATTGACTGAAATTATAATCTTGTCATTATGAGGCTACAAGTCAAACATACAAAAAACTTGCAGCACATCATCGTTGCTTCCATACCATAGTATTAGGTATTTATCCAATCGTACCCCAAGCTGAGGGTGCCGAGGCTTGGAACTCAGTCGATGAAGAACCAGCTTGCCTGGGTCTCTCCATAGTGCACAACGAAGGTTCATACAGGGACAATACCAAGAATATTTTCTGATCATGGTGGTCACTGGGATCGTGGATCATGATCACTGATTTAAGGCTCTCGGAAATGGGAGTTGAAGCACTTAAATGGGGAGTTCCTTTTTGTTCATCACACATAATTGACATATTAGAGCCAATGAGTAACTGATCCATATGAATCCATCCTTTTTTGTCATTTTTTTTAATGAACCTCATTAAACAAATCATGATCCCCTTGGGCCTTCCAAGAGGGAATTTCCGCTGTGCACGATCAACAGGACGCCCCCGAGCCGACCAAGGTGGAGCAGATTTTCGGTGGAGCAGATTGCCGTGGATAATTTGACCAGCAACACATTATTATGGGGATATAATGGAATATGATGAGAACATGGGGTGTAAGCCAACTTGATATGATAATTGGATGTCTCTGAAAATTGTGTATACATCCACACTATTTTCAGACCCCATTTGAGTCAGACGTCAATTTTTGGTCATGTTTTGTTCTTTTTCTTTGGTAATTCTTTGGTCACTTTTTGGTCAGCATTTTCTTGTGAGCATCCAAAGGTGTTGTACTGCAACTTTTTTTGTTTTGGTGTTGTACTCTCCATTTCTAGCGCTTTCCGTCCTTCCTCCAGATATGGGTTTCTCTGAAATAGTCTACCCTGAATTTTAATTACTATTACCCTCTGGTAATTTAACATAGCTATTGAAAATTGCCATTTATAGTGGATTTTCCCATTAAGAATGGTGATTTTCCATAGCTGTGTTAAATTACCAGAGGGTAGACCTCACTAAAACAGACACACCGAAATCAGGCAGAGACGGGCCCTGAGGCAGTGCTAGGCCGAAAGGACCGGGATGCAATATGGGGGAATAATGCTACTGTGGTAGACCCGTTAAAGCCTGTCATATTTCACAATTCTTTGTTTTGTTAGATGATGTTAGATGTATGACATCTTTATAAACCGTGAAACCATGACAATTGATGATAATTGGATATCATTTCAGAATCATTCCCTATTTACCCAATAGAGTTGAACCAATTGGGGGGGTCTCACAAAACCACACCCCGAAGGAAAGGAGCCTGTGGTTTTGGGATTACCGCATCACTACCTTAAGTGGGGTGTACCTTTGTCTGGAATCGGCTTGGGAATCAGAACCCCTGGGTTGATGTCCCTCGATGACGACTTGACTTCGGCCAAGGCTCCGACCATGTTTTTTTGGGAGACATTTCTTTAGCAGTGTTTTTGCTGTGACACAGCAATTTTGAGTCAACATCTTTACATCTAGTGCAGGCTACTGGGTTAGTCTTTGGCTAGGCTTCCTTTAGATTTTGGCTTGTCTCATCCTTGTTTTGGAGTAATCCATATCGCACTGTTGGGTATATAATATACGTCTGTATCCATTTACATCTATGTCTATCTGTGTTTGTCTACGGATATATATATATACACATACATATTTAATCATATTTATATCATCCCAACGAATAGACTAATGTACAATATATAAATCCATATTATGTATAATTTATATATTCCTTAGAATATACCAAAAATTACAATTGGCACAGCTGGTGCAAGGACAGCAACCTGGCTGCCGAGAAGACAAAGGCTGCGTGGCGCGAGGACGGCCCTGCAGCTTCTCCTTACCTTGGCTGCTGTGCATATAGTCTATGTAATGTATATAATATACATATACCACTATATACAGATGTATATATATATATAAATAAATAAATACATATATAAATAAATAAATAAATAAATAAATAAATAAATAAATAAAAATAAATAAATAAATAAATAAATATCATATCTATACATTTATTGATGTATTATCAACGCATATTGTATATCTACCCACCTCGATATTGGCGAACAGACAGTCCCCAGGAGATGGAAAAGGTGCCTGGAGCAGAGAGCGATGTCCTTCGCCTGGAGGGAGACACAGGGTCATTCGAACTTCTGAAACATCCCAAGGATTGGTAAAGAATGTCCACAAATTTGGGACACGAGTAATTTTAGCGCCTGATTTTCCCATAAAATAACCACCTACCTGGAGTGTTAGGAGGAACCCTGTTTCAAGGGAATGCCAACTGATTTGGAGGAGAGCAAAAAACATCATGGCATCAATCATCGAGATGGTCACACACACACACACACCCATGCACCTAGGTAATTATCGAAATCTAGTACCCTTACATTAATGACTGGACATTGGTGATATTGGGATGGGTCAATATAATACCTATGGGACCATTGAAATGGGGCTGCATTTGAGTGTGAAACCTTGGGGATTCCAGCGTGACATATCCCATATCTTGATTGATTATGGGATATACCCTCCCGTAGTCAAACTTGGCCATGGAACATCCACCATTGACGATGATTTTCCCCTCTCAATACCCATTTAGGCCGTTCAATTTTCTCAGCCATGTTTTGATGACACCGATTTGAAGGAATATGATGCAGGACCATGACCGGCTGGGGATGATACACAGTAGATATGGAAAATCCACCATGGATCGTCCTCATGTCGGTTTGCAGCAAGGGCTTTTGCATATCTGAAAAAACACACCAGGGTACTGGGGGAATCTCGAACATGAGCGGCCGTATTGTGGGGTATTGTGGGGTATTGTGGGGTATCCATATCATCCTAAGGGGGAAGCGCCTGATGGCATGGCGATGGAGGATGACGAGGATGCAGATACTTGGCTCGATTTTGGTGACCACGGTGAGAACTTCAGGGAGGGTGAGGAACCACCAAAAAAACACAACAAGCTTTTTGAGAAACTGAATTTATCCTCCAAACATGGGGATTTTAAGTAAGAGAACCCAATTTGGAGGGGTTCCACCAGCCAAAATGATCAGAAGATCAAGAATGACGTTTACAGCCGGTCAACAAGGGTACATGAGGGTCTTAGCATGACACCTCGTAAGTCCCTCAACTGGGTCTGACCAGCAACCTGGACGATTTGTAAAGACCTCAGGACGTCACCAAGGGGACGTCCCCAAATGGGACTAGTGGTGCCCCAGCCCTGGTGCTGCCTTGCCGTAGAATGAGTTGTCTGGCACCTCAATCTGAGAATCGGGATCATTTCGTCCCAATTTAAGCTTGGATCTCAAGGTCCAGCCAGATATCAGATGCAACCCTCCAAGAAAGTACGTGCAACAGCCTATCTGAGAATATATATATATATGTATGAATAAATAAATATGATGTGAGCCGAAACTTGTGACAGCTCGAAGGGTTGGGTTGGCCAGAAAGGCACGGACTATTGTGCACTTGACTGTCAGAACTAGCTGAAATCGAGAAATACTGAACCCCTGTCGCTGGAAAATTAAGTTGCAGTCCTTAGTTTCTGAGATGCACATTATTGATTTTGCATGGGATTAAATACATAATTTTTCGGGGATGAACATCCACATATGAGTACCAGCTATTTTGCACTGAACCAACAGCTCCCAAGGACCGAAAGGTTCAAGAAAGTCGTGCACGGCGGGAGGCTGGAGGAACCTGAGTTCCCCGTTCGACCAGAGGAACCAATCCACATTGAGGGTAACTAACCTACAACATTGGATGGATATTCTCGTATCACCAAATTTGATCTTTTTGGGTCATTTTTTTGCCCCCAGTTCATGGCAACACTTTCATTGAACGTGCTTTATGACCAATTCATAATACCAAAAGAATTACAAGTGGGGCGAAAATGCTCTGCGCATGGGTATCCAAGCAATCTTTTTTTGGGATGAGCGCATATGCTTGGATGTAAACCCAGGATAACCCAGGTACATCTATCGTTCAATTTCTTTGCATTGACTGAATTCCAGGCAATGTCGGGACCTGGAGGGCTTCCTGTGACACGGGGCCTTACCCCCAATTGTAGTCGTTTAGTGGAGGTTACCCTTGGAAAATCGTGGGAATCGTGATGGATGATGGACTGCCCCAAGAACCTATTGCAACATTCTTGGTTGCATGAAGTTCTACAGGCTCCCCAGAGATTTCTGTCACTTTTTGGGGTCAGTATCATCACAGGAAATGGTGGTGAAATAGTGGTTGAACCTCTGAATTTAGTTTTTCTCAAAGTCCAACTATAGTTTTTACCTTTTTTCGATTTAATTCCCGACTTTTTTATCCGTTGATTATGGTTGATGATGGTTGCTTCAACCACCCAAAGGTGACGTGTCCTGGTTGCTGGTTCTTCCTCGCCATTTTCGCTACGAGGCTCTCATGGCAAAGTGGGTGAACCGTGGAGAACGCAATGGGCCGGGAGAACTCAGGGAGGTGTGGCTGGGAAATGCTGGGAATGCCATTTTTTCTATCCCCAATTTCATCAATTTTCAACCATAGTTCCAAGAGTGGTCTATATATATATATTATATATATATATATGTACTATCTATACACAGTTGAAATGAAACCAATCCCCGTGATGGTTTATTGTTGCCGATCCCACATTTGGGTTTGCCAAACAAATGTGGGGGAACCCGTTATATACGTAAATTGAACCTAATTTTCTGCCCTAATTGATGGCAATTTTGGTGTATACCCCATTTCTGGACAAACCCACATGTTGTGATGGCCCAACACATGAAGATTCTTCAAAACAAAAAGTAACAAACATGTTATAAAGTCAAGAGCAATGAGGATGAAAAATGGTATAATTATATAAAGCCATTATACCATTAGTATACCATTAGTATGGTGAATGCTTTTAAATGGTATAATTGTACATAATTGTACGATAATTATACCCATCAACCATTCAACTCATGGTGCATTCACCATTAGTATACTGTACAACAAAGAAGGGTGAATGCACCATGATTTTCAATAGAGAAAATTCTGCGAGATTGTTTGGTGCATGACAGCCAAAATCTGGAATTTTTCATCATCGAAATTTAGGCATTCGCGAAGCGCTCATTGAAGCAGCAAGGGACTGCCAACCTCCTTTCACCGGTTTTGAACGATACTCTGTGTGAACGATACTCTGTGTGAAACGCTTGTGTGTGATGCGTCACACACACAGAAACACATATGGAGGTTTCCTAAAATGGGACCCCACATCATCCATTCTAGTAGGATTTTCCACTATCTATAAACTATAAACCATCCATTTTTGGGTACCCTTCATGGAACCCCCCATATTTACGTTAAGGCTTCCATAAGTTGCAAGACTTGTCATTCTTCCAGCGAAAACGTCCCAGTGCCGTTCATCATTTTTGCACCCTCTGCAGCCATTTTGGAGCCATTTTCTTCTGCGCACCGTTGCGGTAGTGGTCTTTGCGAACACCCCATTTCCTAACACCATGGGATGCAAGGGAAGTAAAGCTGTGAAGACTCAGGAGTGACTCGGCAGATCCACTGAAGCGGGGATCTTAAAGATATTTTTGGGGACAACAGCCATGAGCAAAAAAAAACAGATTTCGCAATGATTGCACCAAGTCCTTCTAGTTTTCTGTGTTGAAATCGTGAACAGTTGAAGATTCGGCCATCAAGCTCCAGATGATGAGGGGGATGAATTATGTGCATCAACCACCGTTTATTTGTAGTGACGAGGGCCAACGAGCAGTTCATCTCTATGAAATGGTGAAACATCATCAACCACAAGGGATTTTGGTGCTCATATGCCTCCAGGAGAAAGCCCTAAAAAAAACTGGCTATAAACCCTAGAAAGCCACATCAATCCCCACTATCATATCCCATTATATCGCAGGATATCCCGTTTTAAAATGTTTTAAACACTATTAAACCCCATCAATCCCAGTTGTGTTTCCAGATGGCCCTAGCTGCTGGTTGTAGAGGCTCCGGTGCTTGCACCAACAAGATGTTGCTCTGTTGAAAAGTTGGATTGGCCTGCAGGTCCAAGTCTTCCGCGTGTAGAGGTATGTTTTCAGATCCACGAAAAGGCGTATTGATGTGTCATTTACAAGACATTATGTGAATATATCTATGTTATGTGGACTGATGCAATACAGTAATGCTTTGACACATATAATATATACGTCCGGATCACCCGCGGAACGATCCATACCCGTTTTTTGAGCCATACCCATATGATCATATATGTGCATACATACAAATGTGTGGATATATATAATATATATAATATATAGAATATATATAATATATATATAATATATAGAATATATATATATATATAATATAATATATATAATATATATAATATATAATATATATAATATATATAATATATATAATATACATAATATACATAATATATATAATATATATAATATATATAATATATATAATATATATAATATTAATATATAATATATATATATATATTATAATATAATATATATAATATATATTAGATATAATATATATATATAATATATTAATATAATATATAGTATATAATATAATATAATATAATATATTATATTATATTATATTATATATATGTATATGTATATGTATATGTATATGTATGTGTATGTGCAATATATGATAATATAATGTATATATATATATATATTACACATCGATCCCAGATCACACATCCATGGTGTGTTTCGATGGGGCCAAGGGCTCAACCGTCCACGCAATTGGCGACAGCTGCCGTTAGCGACAAGCCAGAGGAGACGCCTCAGGAGCCCCGGTGGTGAATACAGGTGGCATAGATGTCCTTTTCCCACTGATGAAATAGAGGCTTCCCCCAATGAAAACCAACCAATAGGTAGATGATTCTAGATTACCAAACCGGCCCCTCTATTTTTCTGAAAAAAGACAATATTGGGTGGTTCGGAGAAGTGGTTTATTGGGGATTAGAAGAAGCCACAATAGGACTTTTTACTAACCAACCAGCCGGATAGGGATTCTGCTGAAATCAACTAGTGAATGTCACAGGACCTGCTAAGATATTGGTCTCCACGTCTCCAGTGTATCCAAAAAATGGAGGACGACCTTCCCGAGATATTTTTGATTTTTCAACCCAAGCATCCAGGAGACAGAAGCAAAAGCTGAGGAGTGGGGATCCTGCTGGGATGGCTGTGTTGAATCTATGGCCGCAACAAATGGTGGCATGTTGAGTCCTGCGTTTCCGGTGTAGGGCCCTTAGCTTGTCGCGGCAGGAGCCTGTGCCCAGCAAGGAGCAGATGCCAAGATCTGTGGGTTTGGGGGCTTGAATTTTTTGACCCGCACCCAAAAGCCAGTTGATGTAGGTCACCGAGATTGAGCACGACAACATAAGTAGATGAACAGCACTCAAGTTGTAGAAGTGCAACCAAATTGGAGATTTTTTGTTGCGATTCTTCGTTACAAAGATGCCAAAAGGTGAAATTGTTTAGCTTGGCGAATTGCAGCAACTCCCTATTCTCTTCGCTCAAGCATTTTTGCCTTTGCGGCTATTACCCATTTTCTTTCGGATATATCTACCTTGAACCAGTTTACTTGTGTTTAGGAGGATTTGACAGATAAGATGGGACGTCATCGAAAAAGAGAGCTCAAATGGGTTCAGGAATGTGTACAGCACATTTCAGTATCAACTGAGAGGGAGTTTTTTTGCGTCAAGGGGCTGAAACTGAAACTGATCTACAACAGAGAGCGTGGCTAAGATGATTGCTTATGTTTTCGGACAGCGTTTGAGGCTTTGTTTCCGTTCTGGTTCACTCAATAATGATTCCCTTTTTCACTGGCCACCTGCCAGTTGTTGGAAAGTGGGGCTGTGCGCCCTTGACACCTAGAATGGCAAGCAGGCAATGAGGTCAACTTGCAAAATTATCACTTGGGACTTGGCTATTCGGCCATGGTCTTGGACTTATTCTTACTTATTGATCTCCAAACTTCACTATATTGGAGGGCGACTTACAACAGGGAGACCCATGAATATCAAGACAGGTCATTTTCTGTCATTTTCTGTCAGGTTGAAGTGCCAGGTTGGGCCAGGTTGGGTTCAACCCCCTGTTGTCGTCTTCGTTGAGGACGTGGTCAAGGATCCCTCCCAAGAGACCGGTGCTCCGGTGACGTCGCTGCCTGCATCGGCGGTGGTGCCGTCGCAGGTGCCGGACGTGGCCGGGATCCCCATGGCACGATGGTGATTTAACATAGCCATGGGAAATGGCCCATTTATAAATAGTTGATTTACCTATAAAAAATGGTGATTTTTAAGGACTGGATGATGTTTAATGATGTTGGTGAATGATGGATGATGTTTAATGACTGGATGATATGATGTTTAATGATGTTTAATTATATCCAACATGGTTTAATGATGTTTAATGACTGGATGATTTGGGGGTACCTCCAATTTAGGAAACCTCCGTTTGGGGGTGATGTGGTGCCATCCATGAGAATGGCTTTTGCAGTGGAGATGGTTTATTCTTGATCGTTCGCCCATTTCACCGTTGGAGGTGGGGACTTTGATTGTAGCGTAGAGACGAAAAACTACAGAAATTTCAGAAGTTCATTCTACAAACTGACAACGATCAGGGTTTTCCTTTTCCCCTTCTGGTGAGATGAGTGCCGGTATATAACCTGGTTTATTTACAGTAAGCCCCAAAAACATAGCGAAGTATAGTAAGTTCCCACTAGTTACTAGTTTGGAAGGATTGTACATTTCTACTTTTTTCTGGCCAGCTACTTGGATCGTCTGCCCCCAACAAATTGCCACCAGATATGGCCCTTTGTTGTGGTCAAAAGGAAGGATCCAGTTTGAGGGGTTTCTCGTCGCTGCCCTTGCGAAGATGGCCAAGATTCAAAGACATGCTCTAGGGGAGAAGGGCTTCTTCTTTGACGTGTGCTCAGAGAATCTTCAGACCAACAAACACCTGAGCTCACTGTCAGTAGATCCAAGTAGTTTATGGTATCTTTTCACGGCTGCCCTTGCATCGAGTTTGAAACAAACGTCCCTTTTGTCCCGAGGTTGCGTCTCTGCCACATCAAGAAATCAAAGTGGAGACGAGCGAACAGGCAGATTGTGTGACACCTGGGTTATTTGCTCAGTATTTGCTGAGATTGTATTGAGTTCACTACTATGCCAAGGGTTTTTCCTCGCTGCGTTTTGCAATCTCGCAGTTTGGTAGCTTGACCACTTCTTTAGTAGCCTGAGCCTCGCGTTGAGGTGGCTCAGAGCGGGACTCATAGTCTGTACTGTGTCGTGAGCAAAAACCAAAGCTTCAAGCCAGCATCAAAATTCCAACCAGCCCCCGCGTGAGAAGGTCCCCCTTGGTCTTCCAAACATCCTTGCAAATTTGTGCAGTTTGGTGACAGCTTTGCAGATTTCCAAACTTCGCACATCGCTCCAGGGTGCGCATTGCATGTGCTGCTGAGATGGCATCACCGTTCAAGTCCCCTGGAAACGCTGAAGTTCGGAAAATTTGGACCATCTGCAAACGCAGATTTCAGGGACACCAGTGGGACACCGGACCGATTTTGCGTGTAAGGCGACGAGACACAGCTGCTCTGCACTGCGGTGGACTGTGTTTAGTGCCTTAGCTCACCGAGCACTGCGGTGAAGGTGTGTGCAATTGGATTTGGGGGACACTATTGCTTCGGAAAAACAGCAGGAAAAACATGTCGCAGATTTGAGATGACTTTGGCCTTGGGGGCCCTTTAAAAGAAATATCAGGATTTGTCGAGGATGTCATAGATGATGTTCACTTCATTCCAGGTTTTCACTTTCCATCTGGTGTGGCAATCAATAGTTGTATGCCACGGAGGTCCAATGGCACACCACTTCGCCCGACTCGGACATCATGGATGGAATTCACCGGGTATAGCAACATTTTCATCATTTTCTGGTAGGTGTTATTTATGCATCAAACCTTGGGGGTAACTGTGGGAATTTTATGCAATTAAAGCTATTGATATGAATGGTATGACGGGTAGAGTGATATGACATGAGATGCACTCTAAAGGCTTGATAGCTTTTACATGCTTCAATTATCTGGATGACCTTTTCGATGCACCAGCCACATTCATCTTCCGGAATTCCATCTGCCTTTCTTGCTTGTGCTCCCAATGCAGCCAAAGCTTCCAATTGGGTGCACCAGAGTCAGCGGCAGTACAGACTTGCCATATCACGTGGAATCCAGGCATGTGTTTTTGGCTCATGTCTGAAAAGCCGTGCCACGTACACTACTTGCCGACCGACGCTGGCTTCCAGATCTCCCTTGCCAGTTGGCAACAGTTGAGCACTGCAAAATATCCCTGGTGGTTGATGGTCAAAAGTAGGGTGATACCAACTGGTTCCATGGGAATACTTGTGCAACAAGTGTGAAATAAGTGGGAACCCCTATCAACCAACCAGTCGAGTCGGATTCCCGGGTTTAGGCGAAATTCCACGTAATGAACTATCAACGCTTTTGAGTGCGGCTTGTTTTTTGGCCAATTTCCCAGATATGACTTCACTTCCGGAGTCGATACAGTTGCTGATAAGTTGCTTGGTGGAGAAAACTGGGTGATGCAAATGCGGGCCACCTCCTTTGGGAGATCAGACAGATGGGAGCCTAGGCCTCGGCAGAAAGGCTAACGCGCTAAGACTCGCTACGCATTGGCCTTCTTTTTCAGGTGTGAAACGCCTGACAACCAGGCTGCCTGAATGCATGTGCAAAGGAACAAGCCAACGTGTGCAAAGATTGCTGCGCAAAAGGGGTTCTGTTGGCTTTCTCCAGGTGGTCTGATCTTTCTGTCAAAAGGTTAGTGGGGTTAGTGACGGTTAGTGGTTTTGGTGATGGCTTGAAAGTAGCAAAGTCGGCTTGGCTATGTTGCAGGAAATAGGTGAACTCATGTTCCAGATGAAGAAACGAAGCTGACTTGGTCATTGGTCTGAAAAAGTTGAAGATCGCCCCAAGGCCCACCATTTTGAGGGTCTATTCCAGCCGGAATCCCTCTAGGTTTTAGGGAACCCCGGACGAAGACTATATAGTCACTGCGTTGCGGCTCCAACCTTTGAGGATGGAAAACACGGACACACAGATGGCCTTAGCCTCAGGGGGTCGGGCCTCTGAATTTTTGGGACACCCCAACGGCCCCAGAACATCATCAAAACATATCAAAACCCTGATCAAAGATGGTCCATTTCCGTACAAAATGCTAGCTTGGCCCCTCCCGGATACTACTGTCTTGGGGTGTTTTTTTTCCACATTTCGTTGCATCAAAAGGCTTTGGTACCCGAAAATTGAAGGGGTTTCCCCCCGAAATCCCTTACGCACGACCTCCCGAGCTAAGGAGCCGGAGGAAGACCTCACCGAAGATAAGAGCCCAGATCAGGAACCTCCTGAAGCGTGGGGGCGACCTAGCTGCGGTGCCATATTTTTTCTGAACATGAGCGATTTACATCCCATTCACAGCAAGATCGATGGGGAAAAGGACCATAAACCATGGGATTTTGGGGTAACTTGGTTTTTAGACTCTAGACAGTCTCCAAAAAAAAATCAACGAGCAAGAGCACCCCTCAGCAGACAATCATTTCAGCAACCAAACAACACCCTACTTCGAACGACACTGACGTGAAGCTTTCATTGCTAAAGCAGCCAAAAGAGACGTTACATATGCGATCTCTATGGCTACATATATGCATATAACCAATCTCGCTAAATTTGATGGTTTCCCATCCCCTGCTTGCACTTTGAGTTGCCCGATAAGCCGGGAGAGCTGTTACATGTTCCACCCGTCAAACTTCCACACTACTAAAGCAGCCAAGAGAGGCTCTTCGCGAGATCAACTTCCCCGTGTTTAAAGTATCCAAGGATCCAAGAGACACGTACTGAGAAAAGGCACGCATGAGTCACATGAGATCAACTCCAAACGAGTCCAGCTTTCAGTTGCAAGAGTAACTCGAGTAACTCACAGAAAGGGAGCACCGGGAGCACTTCGAATTTTCCACCCATCCCAAAGTGACTGATCAGGCCTCGGGATGAAGAGATGGATGAGGGGGAACTCCAGTTCTCCCGGCACGTGGATTCCTGTGGGTTGGAAACGGTTGGAACCAATGAAAAAAAACCATGGGTCAAGGCGGTCAAGGGGTTCAAAAAATGGGCTTGGTGTTTGCAGATTGTAACAAGTTTTGCTACTTTTTTGCTCCAGGGAACCGTGCGGGATTTGCACAAAGTGGGAAGATTCATCAACAAGATTGAAAGAGGAAGCTGCAGAGGAATGTGATGTAACATAGCGCACAAGATGCTAAAGCAATGCATTTGTAATAGTATTAATAGGTGATCCCCACATTGATCACCAAGTTGCGATGACACTGGGTATTTGTGGGCTCACTTATTGATGTTGGAAAACAAGGTGAATCGACCGCTACCAGAACTGGCCACGTTCCCATCCCTGGGCCGTTGGGGCCGTTGGTGCCGTGGCCGGGAACAGCACGGAGTCCCCCGGTGACTGCCAGATGGTGAAAAGATGTGAAAAGCCTGGTGTGTTTCTCCCATATGACGCTGGGCAGGTTGAAGTGCTTCAATTTGTTGATCCGAAATCTTAGATGGACGGCAAAACATGGGTTGGACCATGGCCTGCAACTGCGACGACCCGGTGAATGGTGCACTGGTTGAAGCGATCGTAGCTCAGCAGCATCCAAATAAGGGATCGACCTGGGATTCAATGGGGTTGGGATGGCATTTCAAACTGGGGGATAATTATAGTAATGATGGGGAAATAATAGATAAATGAATAAATAAGTAAACACATAAATGAAATTAGATAAATAAATAGATACCTAACCAACTAACTAACTAAATAAGTAAATAAATAAATAACAATTTAAATAAATAAATATACATAATTGATGCTTTTGCCTATGCTAAGAGATATTTGAGGAGATTTGCTTGTACACTGCGGTTAGCATAACGAGGGATATCCCTTTGGACAAGTATTCTAACCATCACCAGACACCATGTCAGGTGGGGCCGTCGAAGTTGCTGCTTTTTTCTCCCCATGATTTCTCGGTTTACACCTGCAAGTCTACATAATGTATATAAGTATATATATATATATATTATATATATATATTATATATATAATATATTATATATATATATTATATATATATTATATATATATTATATATATATTATATATATTATATATATATATATTATATATATATATTATATTTCTGGGTAAACTTGATCACGACCTCACTGTTCTCCCGAGCCCTGGAATCATGGTTAATAAGAGGAATCATCCCCAAGATAGCCTTATTTCAGGTTAGTGAATTATTATAATTTACCCAGATATTTAGAGACATATGTAAAGTACACACACATACACACCACACGCATATGAATATATACACCGATCGTTGAAAATACTTAGAAGTGTATGTACAGTCTGTACCGATCATGCTGGATAATGTTTATAAATAGGTAAATAGAATATGGCTACACGTATACTGTCAGAATATGACTATACAATGGTGTATATATAGCCTCGTCCCCGCTTCTGGAACTGCGGACCACCTGAATTAGGTTGGGAAAACTTGTCCATTCCGGGACGAAATTTCGTCCCGGAATTTACAAGTTTCATTTGGGTCATTTTCATCATCATCATCCTCATCATCATCAACATCATCATCAGCATCATCGTCATCATCATCATCATCATCATCACATCATCATCAGCATCATCATCATCATCATCATCAGCATCACATCATCATCATCATAATCATCAGCATCATCATCATCATCATCATCATCATCATCATCCTCATCCTCGTCCCCGCTTCTGGAACCGCGCAAACCTGAATTAGGTTGGTAAAACTTGTCCCGTTCACATGAACGTTAACATCCTGCCGCAAGTTCACATGAACGTTAACATCCCACCCCACCCCCCACCCCACCCCGCGTGTGCGTAGCATCAACTGCTGCCGCAAGTTCACATGAACGTTAACATCCCACCCCACCCCCCCCACCCCGCGTGTGCGTAGCATCAACTGCTGCCGCAAGTTCACATGAACGTTAACATCCCACCCCACCCCACCCCCCACCCCGCGTGTGCGTAACTGCTGCCGCAGTTCCAGAAGCCAGGACAAGCCTATATATACACATACATACATACATACATACATACATACATACATACATACATACATACATACATACATACATAGATAGATAGATAGATAGATAGATACAGACAGACAGACAGACAGACAGACAGACAGACAGACAGACAGACAGACAGACAGACATACATACATACATACATACATACATTAATACCTTACATACCTTACATACCTTGCATACCTTACATACCTTACATACCTTACATACCTTATATACCTTACATACCTTACATACATTACATACATTAGATACATTTTGTTGGGATTTGCTATAACATGGCATGTCCATACACCTGCAGCCCTTTTTCAACTTCAAGGGATAGGCCATAGGACCATCCCTAGCAACAGCTTAGCGCTGAAAGAAGAAAAAGAGCCCAATACGTGCTGGCAGCTACCGTCAACTCTTGCATGGTAGCGGAGCTGCCTGGTTCGAGCCAGTGAGCTGAACCTGAGGCCAACATGGCCCAAGCAGCTGCACTGCAGGCAGCATTGGCTGCTGCCACTGCGGCAGCACAAGCTGCAACAACAGCCTTGACCGAGATCAAGCAAACCAAGGCCAGTGGCCTGGTCTCCAAGCCCAAGGAGCTGGAGTTGTCAGGGAAGCCGGAAGAAGACAGGAGGACATGGCAGGACTGGAAGTTCGCCGCTGTCCAGTACCTGTCTGTCAGAGATCAAAAGTTCGTGGAGAACATCAACCAGTGGTTGCCCGAACAGATCCTGTAGAGATGGATGCTCTCTCACCTGACGAGAAAAATCGGTCAGAGGCGCTCTATGTGTTTCTGTCAGGCCTGGTGAAGGGTCGACTGCTGGGGATCTTGAAGAATCCTGGGCTGGCAGCCAACTCAAATGCGTTTGAAGCCCTGAGGCTGATCCAACATGAGATCGAGCCAGCATCGGGCGCAGCTGCCATTGGATTGTTGGAAACGATCCTGTCAATCCCTGAGCCACCACGTGGAACACCACTTCGTGATTCCATCCTAGCTGTTGAACGTCTCTTTGAAGATTATGAGGCGTCCTCCAAGGAGAAGCTAGGAGAAAACCTGAAGATTGCCACTCTGAGGAAGCTGTTGCCGGCAGAACTTAAGGTTCATGCCACTCTCCTGGTGAAAGAGGGAGTCACCTATGAACAGGTGAAGAAGGCAGTGGCTGAGTATGAAGTGGCAGATCGAAGCTTTCAAGCGTTGAAGCCCGAAGCCATCTACAGTGGAGCCATCCCCATGGAAGTGGATGCCATCCAAGCCAAAGGAAAAGGCAAGGGAGACGAAGGAGACAAGCCGCAGTGCAAGCATTGTGGGAAGTCTCACAAAGGGGAATGATGGGCCAAGGGCCAACAAGGTTCCAAAGGAAAGGGCAAAGGGGGCAAGGATGCGAAAGGAAAGTCCAAGGGAGACAGTCAGAAGGGCAAGACCCAACAGCCTCCCAAGGAACCGTGTCAGATTTGTGGAAAGGCAGGCCATGGCGCCGCCAAGTGTTTTCAGAGGTTCAAGCAGGACAAAGGGAAAGTTCAGCAAACCAAGGACTCGGTGCCATCGGGCACGGGTGAAGCCCCATCTCCCAAGGGAAATGGTGTGGCAGCAATTGGTTTGAGGGATGGTTCTACGTCCCCGGAAACTGAACTTGCCCGAACGACACTGGGCATTGCCTCGGCGAATCGGTATGGCCAAGCAAGGTGCCTACTGGACACAGGTGCAGATGAGCACATCTGCCCTGAAAGCTTTGCAAGCTGGATTCCGGCAAAGCCTAAGGCCACTGTGCCTAGGTTGAAGGATGCTCAAGGGAATGACATCCCCCACGAGTCCAAATACAGGACTGTGGGACTTTGCCTAAAGAACCAAGACGGCCGGGAGACTGTGGCCTATGTTTCGTTTTTGGTTGGCCCAGTCCAGCAACCTATCTTGAGCATGGGAAGACTGGAGGATGATTTCTCGGCTGTCCTGGACACTCGAAAGAGAGTGTTGGTGTTGGATGGAGACATCTTGCCTGTCGAGAGGATCTTGCGGTCCTACCACATCCCAGCCTGGGTTGTGGAGCCAACGGAGGACGACCAAAGGCGACAGGTGAGACAAGTGAAACGAATCGTCTACGACTTGGACCAAGGTTTGGTCAAGTTTAAACCTCACCTGAAAAGTGAGTTGGAAGACCATCCAAGAAGGAAGACTAAAGCGGAGACAGAACCTAGAGGCGAGGAGCCAGCAAAGGCTTCCAGGACCAAGAGGTCTGGAGAGCCAGTGAAGGAGGAGCTCAGGGCTTGTAAGCCTGAGGCTCCTGCTGAAACGAGAGGCACCAAGGAAGTTTCGCTCTCTGAGTCGGAGGAATCAGAAGACGAAGAGAGTGAGCCGCCGTTGCCACTGTCGTCAAGGGCTGGCCAGGTGATGCCCAAGGCACCAGAGGGTCCGCCGTCTCCGAAGCCGGTCAAGACGTCCGCCAAGGAAGGACGCTTGGACCAGAAGTTCTTCGGGATTGCCAGCAAGAAAATGGATACGGTCCTTCACAAGGAGGACTGGCACGCGGCTGGGAAACAATATCTTCGAGAAGATGGGATTCCCCTCACTTTCCAGGACTACTTTGAGTCCAGGCTTCGTGGTGATGACAAGGATCACACCGTGTGTGAGCGTGGGAAATCTCTGAAACCCTCTCAGGACTCTCTCTGGAGTCACATGTCCCGCAAGCACTGCGTCCCAGGATGCATGTGGAACATCTGGATGGCGGAGTATGAAGCCAGGATGAGCTCAACTCCCGGCTCTGCCAAGGGATCAAAGGTAAGAGAGAAGCAAGAGCGAGCGAAGAAAGAGGCGACAGTAGTTGCCTCGAGAGGAATAAAGAGAAAGGCAGATAAGTCTCAAGAAACCAAGGAGGCTCAGGAGGAACGCTCTG